CACACACACACACACACACACACACACACACACACACACACACACACACACACACACACACACAAAACATTTGAAGTATAAATACTCCAAGCAATAAAATACTTTCAGGAAAAAAAGGATTTCTGGACATATTCTTATAATTATATATCTTATTATCTAGTTTTTTTATTTTTTTTTTACAGTAATTTGGTTCTTTCTTTTATTCACAAAAATGTGGTTTATTATACCGATGCCGACAACGAACCGCGTCAAAACGACAGACACACATTCTATCCAATCAAACGTGGTGCTTTGGCAGAGCTACATCTGCGTCAGCCAATGGAATTCCACTGTTTGCCGTCAGCTGTCCAATCACAGACAGCTATAGAGTGGAAGGGGAGGGTCTTGTTCCCCCTCGGCTTTGCCCAGTCCGGATGTTCCCCAGTAGCGAATAACTAGCAGCAGTGTGTGTGAATGTGGCAACCGAGGTAGACAGGGAGGGGTAGATAGACTGACCAGAAGGTTTTTGTCTTTTTCCTTTTCTTTTTCTTTTCCCACAGAGCCCGGTGTGCACTCTTTATGTGACACCGCGGCTGCACACTTGTCTGTGGACGTGAACGCCCGGCCGCCGCGGCTTTTCTTTGGGACGAATCGTTACCGTTGTGGAAAACAGCCCAGAAGAAAGAAGGAAAGGGAGAAACAACATGGGGCGATAATAAAAAAAAAAGGTGTTGTGTTATGAACCGACGATGAGTCTCTGGGAAGATCCGTGAAGCTTATTTATTTTTATTTATTCCCCCCTTTTCCCTTGTGTCCCTTTTTTGTTTTATTTTTTCTTCTCCTCCCTTGCTACTTTGGGAGGCTGATATATATATTTTTTACAAAAAGGAAAAGGCAACGGGATACGTTACAAGAGGACTGAAGGATGGACCAAGCCGGCATCCTGAGAAAGTTTATCCAGGGGGTGAAGGCCATGAGCGAGGGGGACGAGGAGAGGGGAGAGGACAACTTCGGCAGCGACTTCATGGTGGGTCAACATTTACACGAGCTTACCTATAGCCTCCTATTACCTTACACCCACCTCCAACAGACCTCTCTCCCATCATAACCTCCACCCTTTTTCCTCCACACCATACCCCCCACCCCCCCCCCGTCTCCTGGTCTCCCGTGTCCCCCAGGAGGTGAGGCAGGGGCGGCCACACTGCCCTCTTCCTCTTCCCTTCCCGTTTCCAGGCTTTACATGGCGGCCTAGCATTGTCTCCCAAACCACAGAAACACTACCGGCTCCTTTTTATTTAAAAAAAAAAAAAGAGACAACAGCAAGACACGTTAACGTGACTTCTCAGCCCCCCTGGGCTGTTTTTATTCCAGGGATAGCTTAGCTTGTAGGTAAATGCTGTGCTAAAGTGCAGTTATTATGGCTTACTGTCTGATAACCATGCCTGATTGTTAGGATACAGTGCAGTGATTCATTGTCCTCTGTCATACTCAATGAGCAGTGACCGTCCACTGAGCTTCATTCTACGTATTATCTCCTGTGGTGTACCTGTAATATGCATCATTTTTTATTTAGCCTATTGCTAGAAAATCTATATGAAATATTTATAGAATGACTGCAGTTGCTTACTAAGTAGAGGTTTCGGGCCGATGTGTATGGTAGTGGATGACAAATCTAACCTAAAGACAGTTGAATCGATAGCTTTATTTGCTAAATATAGTTCCCCCCCAGCTTTCAGGCGCATTACACTCAGTTTATAGGGTGCACAACATATTTGAGACACAATATAATGCAATCAAATTGAACTGCACCACAATCTAGTCTCCAAAATGACCATGGAGTTGATTCAAGTTTAACATCATAGCCTTCATGAGGGTTGGATTGAGAGCAGGGCTGTTGTATTAGACCGGCCATGTTGTTAAACTGGCAACTGAGTGTATGTTCCTCGAGGGGATACAAACAAAACCTAATCTGTCTCTCTTTTCTCTTGTTGTCCCTCCATAGTTGTGGTCTGCAACATGCATCCTGTTTGTGATTATGATTCCATGTTTTAGCCAACGTTGACAAGGATATAATACCAAATTCTATAGTACTGTATTTTGTTACTTTACTACTTTCTTACATGTGGAAAGAGACGATAACATATTTTGTTTGCCTCGTGATGACCGCTGACCTGCAGTCATACCCACAATGCATCGCTGGATGATGTTGTTTTTCTGCAACTCCAGGACACCAAATTGCTGAAATAGCCACAACCAGCACGGCGCTCCTGTAACACCATTTGCATCACTATGCGGTCATATTAGGTGGTGATGGTGTTGATTGGGGGATACGTTAGGGAATGCTAGCTGGTGGGCACACTTCATTTGTGAGTTTAAATGAATGTAACTGAGCAAAGCCTCTGAAGGATTCAGAAAGAAACAGTTGAACTAGTTGTAGCTGCAGACCGTAGGTTTGGATTTCCTTTCTGATTCACATCATGTCGCAGGGAAGTTAAATGTTGGTTTGGTGTTTTTTTTTTTTTGTACTGAAGTTTGATTGTTTGTGAAAGAGGCGAATCAGTGTCTGGGTTAACCTTGCCTACAGTTACACACACACACACACACACACTTCATTCTCCTTACTTCCCTGCTTCATCCGAGCTGCTTGCTGGAGCTTGCAACATTCTTTCTTGGTCTATTTCATAACATTTTGTCCTGGCTTTAAACCCGGAGCTTTATCAACTCCCGGGCACACTTTGGATAAAAGCTACACAATTTGTCAGGCTTCTCACGCTGAAAATAGGACCGTAACAAATTCGGAAAATAAGGAAAAGCTCCTGTATGTGTCCAGTTGTGTGCTGACGACCGTGGGGATGAGCGTGTGTCGTAAAACAGGGAGGTAGCGTATGTTGCACTTCAACCTAAGACTACGAGGGGCGTTGGTGCTGTGCGAGAGGCATTGAGGAAGCTCTTTATGGATGAACTTCTATATTACAGACGTATAGATGGAATAATCTTATAGTATCTCTTAAGAGAACATTTTATTGGCTGCTGGTTCCTCTTAATCATACATTCTTCGTGTAGTGTTGACTGGTGTAAACGTAGGTTCTTCTTTAAGCACCTCTCATTCACAACTTCATCTACGCCTTGTCAAACCGCCTGCTACACACAGTAGCAGAGAGGCGATCTTATAGCTTGTGGGTGGGAACCTTTGAGTTTCTTTATCAGTGTTCCCAACAAAACGTCCCTTCAGCCCGGGTTGCTACTGAAAAATCGCAGCCTTTTTTAAAATCAGAAATCCCTCTTTTTGTTTTTTTTTCTTTTCTTTTTTTTTTCAAGCTTGCCGGATGCCGCCGACTGCTCGTCATGCCTCGATTCTTCACGTGATATCTGTTCAGTTTTCCTTTTCAAAATGAGCTTTATTGGCATGAAACACAATAATTCCTTTCTGCAGTGAAACGCACATTTCCTGTTCAGCCTTTCGGCTATCACACATCCCTCCAGACAGTAACACGACTATAAAACTGCTCGCGTAAATGTCATGTAAAGGCTTCAATTTGAACTATTTCTGAAATACATTTATAGTAATCCAGTTATATTTTTGTGCATGGAAGCTTTACCTTCATGGTGTTCATGTGAATGGGGGCTTCAAGCTAAATTTTCTTTCAGATGGCAACATCTGCTGGTGAATTAAGAGTTTTTCATCTGTATTATGTAGACAGGAAAACCTGTTCCAATGGAGCACCGGTGGTCGGAGTCTCGAGCGCGGTTGAGACTCGTCAGCCAACATGTGAAGTTGGTGCTTCAGCCGGTTGCTGCCGGCCTCGCGTGAAGCTCTCACTTGCTGGAGTCGAGCTCGACAACGCCACAAGCACATGGGGTGTGCTCCTTTGCACACACTGAGTCACCAGAACACCCACTCTGACTGCTTGTTGTTTTAAATATAGAATGTTTTATTGGCATAATTACAATGCGCTGGAAAGGGCAACAAGGCGGATATTATATGCTCCGTTCGATACTCCTTCTGCAGCTGTTTGATGGAACACGAACACTTGAATTTAGTTTTTTTTTCCATCTGGCACCCAAATGTGAGAAGTGTCTTTTATTTTTTCACATGTACTATTCATTTATTGAATTACCATAGAACGTGCTATATCGTAATATAGATATTGTTATCGAGATATGAAATGACCTATATCGGCAGGAAAAAGATTGAAGCTTCGGCAATGACGTCACGCAGCATGTCATCAGTAAAACGTATGATCATTGTAACCAATCTGGTCCGACGACGATCGCTTAATTTTAAGGGATACAAATGGGATGAAAGGCAAAACATGTACTGTCGAGTCCCGGAGTCTGTCTCATCATGACGCAGGTTCTGTAAAATATGGGGCATCTCTGCAGTCGCTGGTTTCACAAAACCAAACAATGGCGATCTTAGTTGTGTCACAAGGGTGGTTATCAACCGGCTCCGTCAACCCACGACTTCCCAAACCAGCTATTAGTGCGCTTATGTAAGAGAGCCCGAGACAAATAGCCAGCTACAGAGGCAACGATATGGGCACTTCCAGATTCAACATTTGGGTTTACATAAATGTATCCTCCACTGTCAAAATATAACAGTGTATATAAATATATATAATTTTATTTTGAAGATCCAGGTGAGATTGCTTGAGGTAAACTGCGTCTGGCCTGAATACAAGACAACCTTTAATACCGGCTACTTTACTCGCGACAAAGCACATTTAAGGGCACACGGTGATCTATAAAGAGTCCTGTATTTGTGTTGAGGTGGCAGTGAGTGAGAGGTGTTAGGAGTGGAGTTTAGCTCGAGACCAGGTTCATTGCGCACACATGCAAGCTTGCAGGGCCTGTGACCTCAGTGTTATGGGAAACCCTCTGTAACTACTAGGCCACCACGCAGCCCGAAAGAAACGTGCTATTAAAGAAGACTTAAAAAAAAAATGCCTCAGTGTTTGTTGTACATGTGTCACGAAAGCGTAGCACCCCACCCTCAGGTAAACACTGTTGGCTGTGTCAGCTCTTTCGCTGTTAGCGCTGTAAGCACCGTTAGCTGCCAGCAGCCGGCTCAGCCGTCGCCGCGCTCGGATCAATAGAAACGCGCCCAATTCTCGTACATGGCACCTTTTTTTTTTTTTTTAACAAAACTTATGCAAAATCGAACTTGTTGTCAAACACGGAGCTGAGAACACATTTCTCCAAACACGTTGAGATGTTGGCGTCTGTTCATGCGTCCCCGTGTGGCACATGAGCAGACGTCTGCACATGAACAGATGCCTGGATATTTTGCGACCCATTTATGAGATAGAAGGAGACAATTTGCGTGTCTTTTATAGAGGTGTTAAGAATCATTTCACAGGTCCAGTAAAATGTAGCTACAAAGTGGTTCAAGTTGGAAATGAGGAGAGATTAAATAAAGAGCACGATGTAAATAAACCACTAACAATAACGATACAATCTAACTTGTGTGATCAGTTCTGCCTGATATTGATTCTAAATACACGGGCATAATCGCGTACCTGCTTTTGGGAACACTGGGCTCAACATTGTAGTCTAGAAAGGGTTTAGTGTGTGTGTGTGTGTGTGTTCCTGCCTCACCTTTGCAAGGTAGATTACTCCCGAGCCGCACATCAAAGAAAGCGAAAAAGTGCAAACACACACACTTCTCTAAACGTGTGTCCTGTTGAGCAGACATAAAACGCTTGGAGGGGAGGCAAGAAAATGAGATGGGCCGCTGCCTAACTTGTGTGTGTGTGTGTGTGTGTGTGTGTGTGTGTGTGTGTGTGTGTGTGTGTTCTTGTGGGTTTGTGTGTAGTAGCTGTTTCCAGAGTCACCAGGGGGCTTCCCCTCATCCTCCGAGTTTTGTGTCTGCATTTTAAGTGGCTGCACACATATCTGAGCCTGCAGCACATGATCTGGAAGCCTTTATGCCCATGTATTGCACAAGCCCACACACACACACACACACACCTCACTGGTCAGGGATGCAGGCAAGTGCCAGTTTATATATTGTGTGTTTTCAAGAGT